CTTCTTCTCTTCTTCATCTTCTTCATCCTCTTCTTCTTCATCCTTTTCTTCTTCTGCTTCTTCTACTTCTTCTTCATACTCTTCTTCTTCATCCTCTTCTTCTTCTTCATCTTCTTCTTCATTCTCTTCTTCTTCTTCTTCATCCTCTTTTTCTTCTTCCTCTTCCTCTTCTTCCTCTTCTTCTTCATCCTCTTCTTCAGCTTCTTCATCCTCTTCTTCATCTTCCTCTTCATCTTCTTCTTCTTCATCCTCTTCTTCTTCATCCTCTTCTTCTTCATCCTCTTCTTCTTCATCCTCTTCTTCTTCTTCATCCTCTTCTTCATCCTCTTCTTCTTCTTCATCCTCTTCTTCTTCTTCATCATCTTCTTCTTCTTCTTCCTCTTCTTCTTCCTCTTCATCCTCTTCTTCTTCCTCTTCTTCTTCAGCCTCTTCTTCTTCATCCTCTTCTCTTCTTCTTCATCCTCTTCTTCTTCATCCTCTTCTTCATCCTCTTCTTCTTCTTCATCCTCTTCTTCTTCTTCATCCTCTTCTTCTTCTTCTTCTTCTTCTTCTTCTTCTTCTTCTTCATCTTTCTTCTTCATCTTCTTCATCATCTTCTTCTTCCTCTTCTTCTTCATCTTCTTCTTCTTCATCCTCTTCTTCTTCTTCATCTCTTCTTCTTCCTCTTCTTCTTCATCCTCTTCTTCATCCTCTTCTTCTTCTTCTTCATCTCTTCATTCTTCCTCTTCTTCTTCCCCTTCTTCATCCTCTTCTTCTTCATCATCCTCTTCTTCTTCCTATTCTTCTTCTTCCTCCTCTTCATCCTCTTCTTCATCCTCTTCTTCTTCCTATTCTTCTTCTTCTTCCTCCTCTTCTTCTTCTTCCTCTTCTTCATCCTCTTCTTATTCTTCTTCCTCTTCTTCATCCTCTTCTTCATCCTCTTCTTCATCCTCATCTTCATCTTCATCTTCTTCTTCCTCTTCCTCTTCTTCTCTTCTTTCATCCTCTTCTTCATCCTCTTTTTTTTTTCTTCTTCTTTTTGTCTTCCTCTTGCAGGTCACTGCTCATGCGCAGATTTTTTTATCGGTAAAAAGCTCGGCCGATTTTGCCCATCATTGCCGCGAAAATCGGCCGATCGGCAAAATTGTGGACCAAAATCTCTGAGGAATGTTGAATCTATGCCATGAAGAATTAAGGCAGTTCTGAAGGCAAAAGTGGGTCCAACCCGGTACTAGCAAGGTGTACCTAATAAAGTGGCCAGTGAGAGTAGGTCTGCCTGTGTGAAAATGTATTTATTTATTGCAGGTACTTATATAGCGCTGTCAGTTTGTGCAGCACTTTACATATAAATACATTCATGTCAGTTTCTATCCCTCAAGGGGTGTACAATCTAAGGTCCCTAACTCACATTCATACATACACATACTAGGGACAATTTAGACAGGAGACAATTAACCTACCAGCATGTCTTTGGAGTGTGGGAGGAAACCCACACAGGCACAGGAAGAACATGCAAACTCCAGGCAGGTGGTGTCATGGTTGGGATTTGAACCAACGGCCCTAGTGCTGCCAGGTGAAAGTGCTAACCATGTAGCCACAGTGCTGCCCGCGCACAAATGGAAAATTGTTATCAGATACTTACCATCATTTTTCTTTCCTGCCCTGTCCTTACATCAGCACTCAACGGGTTAAGGTGTGTGCAGATTTGAGGTGGGCCAGGAAAGAGGTGGTGTGTCTGTGTAAATCCATTGCTTTGTGTAATTCCTGTCCTCTTTCACTAATATAAATCCTTTGGTTGCATTTTTTGCATTGAATGAGGGATAAAAAAACACATAAAGATCATATAATGGGGCTAGTTGGATGCAGAAAAGTATGTCAATATATTATTCTATCAAACATTTAATGCCTATAAAAGAAAAGATATCAACACACTAAAAATCTGACTTCAATGAAACCAAGTCCTATACAGCTGCAAATGGTTTAATCCCATGGTATCTGTCTGTTGTTAACCAGTGGGCTGAAAATAGAAGATGGAAGGTTAAATAGAAACCAGAATAGGGAGAAAGCACCAACAAATAAGCAGCAGGTGTATAAAAAAGGCATATTCTCTAGCCTCCAAGTGTCCAATTATAAATAAAGATGCTATACAAAGCCCTATAAGATCTGGGAGTCAAAACACAGCAAGTGTAAAAGCACAGTTCTCAGAAAGTGATGACAGTAATAGTTATGGCAGCAGTCATAAATAGCTTTTATATAAAGTAAATATACGAAGGAAGTCGGCGGTGATAACAAAACATTTCAGTATTACTGTTGACCTATTTGTAAACAGTTTCACTTCATAAAATCTTTACATGTAAGCAGGGGTGGACTGACAACGCATGGGGTCCCCGAGCAATAGGGGATAATGGGGCCCCTGTGTCCTTGCCCAAACTCAAAAAAAGCCTATAAAAAAGGTACCAGGGGCATCTCATGGGGGCCCCTATTGACCCCAGGCCCTTGGGCAGTGCCCGAGTTTCCAAATGGTCAGTCCGCCCCTGCATGTAAGTTCATTAGAACTGTTTTTTTTTTACTATTTATGTATGTATTTATTTTATTTTATTTGTTCTCTTCCGGACCGCCCACTGTGTATTTACTTCGGAGGAGTGGCACGGTCCTGCTGGATCGCGTACATGCACCCCCCCACCCCCAACTGATCTCTGCAGTCAATTGGTACAGCATGTCCTGGCCAATGATTTATGATCGGCTGATCGGCTTAGCAAATCACAGCACAGAGTCCTGTGTTTACTAACAACACTGGACTGTGTACAGAGAGCAGTGATGTGGCTTACATCCATTAGTAAGGGCAACACATATTACACATTGTTAGGCACACAGTTAACCCTTTGGTTGCCCCTAAATCTTTACCCTTTCCCAGCCAGTGTCATTAGTACAGTGACAGTGTACAATATTAGCACTGATTGCTGAATTAGTGTCACTATTGATGTCAGTGTGTGTTAGTCAGTTAGTGTCCCTGCCAGCCAGCATCAACTAGCTCCAGATTGGCCACCATAATATCACAGTCCCAATCACCGACCTCTGCTATTACCAATATACACTGCTCAAAAAAAAATTAAAGGAATGCTTTTTATCAGACTATAGCATCAAGTCAATTAAACTCCTGGGATATTGATCTGGTCAGTTAAGTAGCAGAGGGGGTTGTTAATGAGTTTCAGCTGCTTTGCTGTTAATGAAAGTAACAACAGGTGCAATAGATGAGCAACAATGAGACAACCCCCAAAATAGGAATGGTTTTACAGGTGGAGGCCGCTGACATTTTTTCCCTACTCATCTTTTCTGACTGTTTTTCACTAATTTTGCATTTGGTTAGGGTCAGTGTCACTACTGGTAGCATGAGGCGATACCTGGGCTCTACAGAGGCTGCACAGGCAGTCCAACTTCTCCAGGATGTACTACTTGTGGGGGGTGATGAAGATTTTTTATTTTTTTTTTACACTGATTGCTTTTACACCCATAAAGGCTGTAAAAGCAAAAAGCAATAATTTCTCCTTCACTCTGGCTGCATTATTGCAGCCATTGAGAAATACTGTGAGAGCTGTGATTGGTCACTGCTTGTCACATAGTACAAAGCTGTTGTGAATAGCCTTGTACCATGTGATCTCTGTGATCATTCACAGATTTCACACGTATTAAGCAGTGATGTCAGAAGTGACATCTTGCTTACTACTATTCATGTGATCACTGTGTTGTGCTGGAGAGAGGAAGAGCAGAACGCCGGGGACAGGGAGAGTTCAGTCCGTGGGCAGCTGGACCTTGCCTTAACATTTGGGAAGGTTTTTAATAAATCTGATGTCCACTCTACAAGACGCCTTGGGGCCAAGAATTAGATGAGCCCAGCCATAAAAAGACCCAGAAGCTGACCTGCAGCTACATATGACTACATATGAGTAAGTTGGTGGTTGTCAGTTTACCTACCTACCTATCCAGGGAAAGGACATATCCTTATGCTGTTTGTGGGGCCTGTTTTTGGAGGTCGGATAGCAAGGAGGTCTTAACCATGTAGGATCCAGGTGTGATCCAAAAGGTGCATTGGCCAATTGGGTCATATGAAAGAGGTGAGGGGGCATTTTAGCCATTGAGGGATCTGTTGGGTGCGCACTCCACACGGTACCATTTTGCATGTTCAATGAATAGTGAAGCACCTTAGCTGTGGAAATCTTTTGCACCTTATTGGACATTTGTTTATATGAAATTTTTTTTTCACCATATACTGTATATATTTTTTCTATATTTCTTAATTTTTTATCCATATTCATTGATTTGTTGTATGCACATATGATTATTGTATGTGTTGTCTCTTAAAGCACTTGTCACTTTGTTACTTGATGTATGATTATCACATTGTTGGGATCCACTATTTACACATTTGGTGTATGATTATTATCCCAATTTTGGGATTTGGAAGTTTGTTGTTTTTTCACTATTTATAAGGGTCCATTTTTAGGACCAAGTTGTTTTGTCTCACTATCTACACTATATGGCACTTTATGATAGATCCCTGTAGGATCTTTACACTAATTTCATCATGTTTTGTTTAAAATATTTTATGTATAGATGTTATTTTAGCGCTGCACCATAGGAGGAAATGAGGCAGCCCTTTCCTCACCTCAGCCTCCAGTCAGGTTCCTGTAGTCTTTGAAGACACAAAGTCTTGAAAGACTACAGGTAGTAAAGATTAGATCAGCAGTTGTGTTTTAGTCCAGTATATATAAAAAATCAAAGTACAACCATACTCTCATGTCCTTGCTTGCTCATTGCATTTAATCTGACCTACAGAATGAATTACTGGTCCAACTAGGTGTGCTCATATACACCTAAAGAAGACCTGTTACTTTGCCTATTCAGGGTGAAGCAACAAATTCACATGATAACCCTTTCTCTCCTTTGATACCTACCTACCCTGTTCTTATCACCAGCCAGAGCCCTGCATAATACAAATTAAATACATGTGCCTCTACTATGAGGACTTGTAGAGTTAGGACCTCAGAATGTCGGGGTGCCGTGATGTGGCTCTGTGGCTTACATATGTATTTGCAAATGTGTGCTAACCAGGGGCGGACTGACCATATGCAAACTCGGGCACTGCCCAAGGGCCCGGGGTCAGTAGGGGGCCCCATGAGAAGCCCCTGGTACCTTTTTCATAGGCTTTTTTGAGTTTGGGCAAGGACACAGGGGCCCCATGATCCCCTATTGCCTGGGGGCCCCATGAATTGTCAGTCCGCTTAGTGCTAACTAAAACCCCTGTTTTTAAATGCATATTGTTAGAACAGTTAATTTGGTTGTTGGCTGGTTGGCTGGCAAATTTAAGTGGCTTTCTTATCCCCCTCTTTGATAAGTTATACCTATCCATATTCCTTGTGTTATAGCCATTGTTAGACTGGGGATGGCTTACAAGTTGAACTGGGTAGCCTTGGTAGTTTATAATACAAAGGTCACATACTCCCCTACACTTGGAAATACAAGTATTTCCAGGTATATGAGAACATGTGACCTTTGCTTCTTCTTTCCAGTAGAGCACTGCCATAAATGCCCATGCCAACTTCAACACAGTATGACACTGAGCATAATGGTGATGGGGAAAGGGGGAGTTGTTGGAATGTAAGTATCAGTAGCAGAAGAGGTGGACTACCAAAAGAACTGTATCTTTCCGCTTATTAACAAAATGACAGGTTCATTGTAGTGCTTTCGCCATACAGTATTTACCCTGCCTTTTGTAGTTCCAACTAGATAATCAACATATTCTTTAATAAAAAGGACCAAAACAGGATTTTATGGTTATTTTTTTTGCATTGTATCAGTTTTATGCTTTTTCAGTCAAACATTTAACTCATTTTACCACCCTTTTTTATGTACGTATGTGTGCGGTTTTCACTGTAGGTTTTTGTTAATTACTATTTTATTGCTAAAGATGCAAATTTTCACTGCAATATATAATTTGACATTGATGAAAAATGTTTCAAAAGACAGGACTAAAGATAGCATCTATTTATTTTTGCTGAAAAAAAAATTACCTGTGTTAATTATAGCAAAAAAAAACAAAAAATATTTTTCCTTTTTTGTTAGATTTACAAACACAATTCTTCTCTCACACAGCTCACCGGTTTCTTACTGCAGAACGCAGAATAAAAATGTCTGTGCTTTGAGCAATCTTTCACAATTCATGCACCAATCATTCTGGAATGATACAAATCCAAGTACATACTCAACAAAATCTGCATTTTGCCTGCTAAATATCAGATCTGCCTAATCTTCCACAATCAGTCCAATTTGTAATGAACAGAGAATTGATTTTATGATCTCCGTGGCCAAGAGAAGCTATTCTGCAGTAAACAGAAATAATAGGCTCTAAGTTGTGGTAGTATTACACAAGAAAATGAGACATTCACAAAATGTTGAAAAATATATGGGGATAGCAGAAAACATCCACATTACATGATTTCTATGTGGTGTTCATGGAGAGAAAGCTTGCAGGAAAACATGTACAGAAGGTTTATAAAAGATAACATGATATTAAAATGTATCTCAACTTTTGTTGAGAAAAAAAACAATTAATTTGGTTAATTTTGTACATTGCAACTATTACAACTGAATAATAACTAAATGATTGTAACAGACTGATCACTGCTTGAGAGTGTCTGCCTTCACTATAACCACCTGAACAAATCTCAGTATTCTAATGAGGAAAGATGTAGTGTCTGCATCCCTTTAGTAGACAAACCTTAGTGGGGAACCTCACCAAACAAAAGATCCTATTACAGCAGATGTCTAAACGTTGACTTGTATCTCAATACAGACTTCTGAGAAAAGCAGTGAACTGATTATGCAAGCAGATAATGTTTTTTCTGAGGACCTTCAATATTACAATAGTGAATGGAATGCCTGCATAATATTACATTTATTTTTTGACAGATTTTTTGCAAATATCTGCATTGAAATAGCAGTGCAAATGGGCTCATAGGTGTATGTACATGCCTGTCTCTGGCTTCAAGTGGAGTGCATAAACTGATCAGCTATGCATGACCAATGCTGGCTTGTCTACAGCGTTCCTGTGATACCTGCAATCTGTGAATGTGTGTCTGGCTACCCGTTTCCAACCCACTTGCCTTGACTTACTTCTGATATCTGCCTGCACTGACCCCGGCTTGCACTTGGACTATGCTTGGGCTATGCTTCCGCCTGCTCCTTCTGTTCCTGAACTGCTCATCGGAACCCTGACTACGCTTCTGTCTATTTGATTGTGCTTGGTCTGATTGCTAGTTACTGACCTGGCTTGGATGACTTTACACCATGTCTGAGTCTCTGTGCTTCAGTCATCTCAAGTCTGCATTTAGGCAGCTGGAAGAGTGGGTTCCCTTTTAAGGTGCCTCCGCCACCTGGGAGAAGGCTGATAGCCTAGTCAGGTCCTAGGAGGGAGGTGGGTTAGTCTAGGGAAGGAATAGGAAGAGGCAACATAATCTGCTGTTCTCCTGATCTCCCCCGTGCAGTGGTTCCCATCCTAATTCCAGGAGAGAGAAGATAGCTATGGAGCTGGTTTACCCCTCTGTTTCCTACATCTTGGGTCAGGAAGAACATAGGCCCATCCAACTCCAGGGACAAGAGCAGCTGCCAGAAGGACCTGGGACCAAGAGTCTGTTTTATGACTGAACTGTATTATTGATTCATGTACAGAATGCATAAAAGTAAAAAACCTTCAGCCTTTAGAACCACTTTAAGCTTACTTTCTTTTTTTTTTAATCGCAATACTTACATTGAATGAGAAGTGTACCTTGTGCTGGAGGCTGTTTTTTCATTCTAATCTTCAATTTTCTGTTGCCCCCCCCATACCCTAGGAGTGCTAATCTTCCAGTTCTGCAGGGATTATTCTGATATGCTGGAACTGTCATCGGCACTTGTCAAGAGTGCTGACTATGCACCTTTGCCCACCTCTTTTTCATTTATACAATTTTTACTATAGCTTCCAGCAATAAAAAGCACTCTGTGAATGGTGGCTGGGCAGGTAAATGTAAAGCTATTCATTGCTGAAAGCTATAGTATAGATTTTATGAATGAAAGAGGGGGGGAGAAAAGGGCAGGCATAGTAGGCACACTTGATGAGTTCCTATGACAGGTCCAGTGATTCTTATTAGCCCCTACAACACCAGAAAATTACTGCTACTGGGGTATGGGGGGCTGAGGACTAAATATTTAAATGAAGAGAGCAGCCACCAGCACAGGGGACACTTCTTATTCAATGTAAAGACCATTCCTGTGTTTATTTTAACAATAACTAAACTTTAAAATCTCTGCTAACCCCCCCCCCCCCCCCCAAAAACAGAGCTATTACCTCAATGATTATTAAAGTATCCCATGTTGTTAAAACATGGCTCAGATTAAACCAGCAACCTATTTACTTGAGCTAAACTAGATTTGTTGTATTACTATTTTGTTTAGAATATTTCTTTTTTCTTTTTTTTTGTACATAATATTGTCAACCGACCTTATATATACACATCAGTCCTTTAAAGTGTCATTAAACCCACAACAGTAAAATCTTTCTATATATGAAGTAAAGCATGCTTGTTATACTCACTGTGGAACCTAAGGGGTTAATCCTCTATATGTAAAAAGGCTGTTTGATCCTTTCTTCTCTGCCCCTCCTCTTGTTGAAATGACCACCTGATACAGACTGAATCTGTAGTCACATGCACATGCTCAGTTTGGTGAGTATTGCTAGGGAGGTTTTTTTTTTTCTTGTGAGAATGCATGTGATCAGCACAGGGCCAATCAGCACTGTCCAGACAGAGGGTCAGAGGTTTCACATCCTCCTAGAGCAGAAAGAAAATTCCTCCTACAAGCTTTAACCAGTGCTCTGCTGAAGTCACAAGACTACTCTAACTGCTGATGAGAATATGTATTTAGCAGTTTATGTTTACTAAAATAATTGCATTTCCATGTTGTGTGCACTGTGGGAGACCAGATATAGTGAATGCAGGGTCCAGAGTTTAGTATCACTTTAAGTAGAACCTGGCTCTTGTAGATTTGAATTATTCAAGATGAAAAAGAACAATGATGTGGGCTAGAACTGTTAATAAAGTTAAATAATATCACTTATGTCAATCAGATTATATGCACCAGTAATGGATAATACATTTCTTTGGGTGGGTGAGTAATCTATTGTTCAGTGTAACAGAGGTAGGTTTATTAATAGCTGCTTGTCATGACAAAGAGATCTGTGCAGGCTGTACCCTTCCTGCAAGAAATAAATTTCTCCCTAGCTATTATGTATGTTTCCTATGTAGAACAGTTAGGCATCACTGTCAGCCAGCGTGTCTAGTAGATGATAGAACACGTATCTCCAGTCTGCAGCAGGAATTCCTCACTCATAAGTTAATTACATTTTGCCTAAGTTGCCCTCCTTTTATAGCTTAGTAGAACAGTTTAATTTTATAAAGTAAGAAGACTTTTTTCCAAACAACTTTTTTTAAGTGCAAGCAAATTAATTAGAACGAAATTCCATTTGGTTGGCACAAAAAATACTGTCCTTCTCTAGGTCAGTTGTATACAAAAAATGCAAATAGGTTATAGCATGCGGGTCAAGCAAAATTTAAGTAGACTGAGAGAAATACAGAGGCTGTTTTCGAAAACGTTGGCTTCCTGGCTGTCGCAAAGATCATTACTTTCTGAGTGTCTGGCCAGGAACATGAATGCAGATTATTGTTTAAATGAAGTCACAACTTCTGTTCTGCAAACATGTTCCAGGGCAGTGACTCTGAATGCAATGAAGCCATTGATTCAATGGGCCAGTCTAGGCAACTGACCTTTTTAGTAGAAGATGTCAGCAGTTGCTGCCTCCATAGTTCTCAGCAGAGATTTCCTTTTATTGCAGGTATTTACCTGTTTCTGATGAACAAAGAACAAAAAAGGGCGCACTCTCATCCTGCATTACCGTGGTACACCACGTATTTATTGTGTAATCAAATAGATATATACTCACAAACCAAAGGCTAATAAAAGCAGTATGAATAGTCCGCAATGGTAGTCTATGCAAGGCTGTGCCCCAATTGGGGATAAGCTGACGCGTTTCGGGAGACAAACTCCCTTCCTCAGAGCAGTCAGCATGATTTACCTGTTTCTGTTCTGTAGATTCTGAGACAGGACATTTCACTTGATTTCTCATACTGAAGAAAATAGAAGTGCTAAGGGGAAGGTTAGGGTTAGTTAATCACATGATCAGTTCTGTA